AATAAGGAAGGAAGGAAGGAAGGAAGGAAGTCTTGAAAATAATTGAGTGAATATACACTAAACTCAAATCTTTTGCACAGATATTTCTTTGCTTAAGGCAGTCAGAGAAGCACTATGTAACAGTGAATATAGTTAAATTAGCTTAATTATCAAGATGTACTTGATTTGTGAGCTGAAAGCTAGACAAATGTATAAAGCCACACTTTTTCCTTAATTGCTTAAGTGAATTAAAGCACGGTACGGTAATTTGCTCTGATATAAGCTCAACTGAATTCAGTGGAGCTTAGGCCTATGTAAGAAAATATCCAAAAATTGCAATCATTATCTTCTAATTTTTAAGATACCTTGAAAAGTTAAGTACATAGTAAAAGACTGTTTGATTCTTCACTAAGGAGAAATGGGAAAGAGTTTCTGTAAATAATTTCAACTCCTGATCTGTGAGAATTGTCCATTGTGCCAATGTGCCAATGTGCTACAAGTGCACACAATATCAGAAATTTGTGTTTTGTATAAAGAATTTCCTTTGAGTATCTATGTAGCCTAAGATGGAAGCTACAATGAAATTACACAGCCATGTAACATAATTCTCTGAAATGTTTTGCGGCTATTTATGACAAAGGTTATATAGTAATATGATATTGTTTCAAACAAAATATTTTAGGCTGTTTGTTGCAGCATTTGTTGTACCAATGATGAACTACTTTTTTTTTTTTTTTTAGTTATTCTGTTACTGGTTGATAAGGGAACTAATATGCAACTAATGTGGCTTACTTTTAAGAACTGAAATATAGGATTACAGAAATTAATTCACCATTTATTGGGAAAGCTCTGCAATAAAAATGTATGAAATGTAATTTCCGATCTAATATAATGCACATTTAATATTTGAATTATGAAAATATCTGTTACTTTCTCCCTTCCCCACCAAATCTGTGTTTTCCATTCCCATATTTGTTTTATTTTCTCCCTTTTTGGTTAAAGTTGATTTATAATTTATAATTATAAAGTTGATTTATAAAGTATACATAAAGACAAATAAAGTGTGGCACAATTATAGCAATTATCTTTCTCACTTCAAAAAATTCACTTCCCAGATGATCAAGCAAATCAATGCATGGATACCTATAATGGTGTATGCATCTGTTTGGGGCAAATTCTGCATTCAAGTGAAACTGAGAGCTCCAACAGATTTATAATTTTATTTCCAACATCTATAAACTACTTGGAATTTTGAATAGATAATCCAGGTAATCTTACTTGAATAGATAATTTAAGTAAGAGTTTAACTCACTCTTTAAAATTGTAATATTCTCACAAATTCTCTCTATAAGACCAGTGAAGAACAAGGCAAGTAGTTTTATGATTGGCAGTTGTAAATCCCAATTTTGTTTGTTTGTTTGTTTTAATGCCTCTCTTTTTCTCTCTAATTTTGTTGTTTTCTTTATTTTCACTTATAGCACTTTTGAAAAGGATGTAGGTCTCAATTGAGTAGAAAACAACTATCTCCACCTGTTTTCAATTCATCAGCACCTCCTAACCCACTTGCCTATCATTCTGAAATTTTGTCAGAAGGATGTGTACATATCAGTTGTGCCCTCTGCCACAGGAAGCTATGAGGGATGCCTTAGAATAATTCTTTCCACATATCCCCAGCATTTATGTGTCTGAAGTTAGGCAGGTTTCAAACCTTGTACCAAGCCCCCAATGTTTATATCAGGAGTAAATACAGGATCTTGAAAGCTGCAAGATGAATTTCCAAACCTCATTTATTAATGAGTTCATCAAGGTAGAATGTCTTGGAACATTTTGAACTGTTTCTTCCAGGTTCCTTGCACATGGACTTAGTTGCCATTTTTGAGATATGCTAACAAGGAACCCCCCTATTCTTTCTCAGATATTTATGTCTACCTTTCCTTCCATTACTCCCCTAGCCTCTCCAATTTTTAAAACTCCACCTGAAGACGCCATAACTCTAAAATAGGAACTGTGAATTAATTTTTAGGTCACTCTTTGATCAAACTGATTCTGACATTCAGTTTTCACCTTTTACAATATATAATCCCTTTCAAAAGTTTTCATAGGAAGTAAGCATGACACATGTACTAATAAATGGAAATATGTACTTCTTCCCACTACCAGCAACAGCTACACCAACTACAATAGAATAAGGTTTTGTATTCATTCTACAGGCATATTTTGTTTTAACATTAGCTGCTGTATTTGCTGGCCATAATTCAATTACAAGTTGAATTCTTGTTTTCTATTTTTTATTTAAAAAAAAATTTTTTTAATGGCCTGAATTATTGTTACCTGTTTTGAGCAGTGCATATGCACTAGAAGAGCAAGACATAAGTGCTTATTTAAATAAATAAATAAATAAATAAATAAATAAATAAATAAATAAATAGTGGAATTATAATTGGATATTCTTGACTTTTTATAAGTCTTAAGAATATTTTATAATCAAAGTTCTTCTGCAAAGACTTCATGTTTAAAAAATGGGAAAGATCTGAGAATAAGAATGAAAATAGTCACGTAATGCCTTCATATTAAGTGCATATAAAATTTACTATTTTAGCATACTTAAAAGTCTGCATATATTCAGTTGAGATGCCGAAAAAAAATAATGCAAATAATTTCTCCTTTTACTTGGTTGAAGTGTTTGTCTGCATTATCCTTTTAATGGAAAGTCACACAGCTTGTCTTTTTGGAGAAACAATCTTAAGATAGCTAAAATTGTTCCATTATGATTTGCATTTACCTTTTTATTATGAGGGAATAAGAGTTTGGGAGAGACTGTTCTAGATCTACATCTAAGTACTTAATAAAAAAAAAAAGAAGAAGGAAGGAGGAAGTGACATCTGAAAGGCAAGGTGACTTACAAACAAATGCACAGATTAAGCAATTTGCATTTGACTTTAAGACAACACTAACAGATGAAATATACATCAGGGATTCTTTCCTATTCAAACTGTATAGGAGTCTAACTGATTGAGGCCTCACTTTCAGAATTAATTTTCTGACTGGTGTTCAGTTAAACACTGGGTAATTTCATACCACTAAAAAACAAAAAAAACAAAAAAAAAACCCAGAAAACAAAAAACAAAACAAAACCAAACCTGTGAAATTAACCATTGTCTGATGTAACACAAGATCCTGCATTAAGAGGGCAATTTTATATCCTGCAGTGTATCTTAAAATGCTAATTATTTCCATTATATTACATTTCCTTTTTTTCCCTTTTAATTGTAATATTGGACAAAAGAAGATAAGATTTTAGATTTAACCCCAACAAACACATCTCTTTCTTAATGCTATCTTTTGAAACAAGCAACAAAGAAACACGAGTTCTCAATTCCAAAAGATGGAACCTTTGGAAGATAATTGCTATAAATAGATATTAGTATCAGAGACATCGGCAGGAGTGGTCAGATTAGTTAAGTTGGAGGGGCAACTGTATGAGCCAAGTCCCACCCCCTTTTAACATGCATCATAACAAGGTGGGGCTTGGACTGCACAATCTCAGCTGCCACTTTGACTTCTTTGACATCCTCCCCTCCACCCTGAAGATGCCCCTGCTTGATACACATTCAAGATAGGTATCTTAAAGCCCCTACTCACTTAATTCTGTGGCAGTAACAGTTAGGTTGTGCCAAATCTCTTTCTCTCGGTCCAGAGGTCCAATTATACTGATTGTTCCATTGTGGGCATTAATGCTGAAAAATGTCTTTAAGTACTTGCTGTGGGCAATAGAATATCTGCACATGAAAAATTTAAAAAGAGAGAGAGAGAGAGAGGCAGAAAGAGTTTCTTAGACATGGAACACAATAATTGCTTTAGAAAGAAGGATATATAAACTATTGTCAGTCAAGGAAAGAGAATTGTGTAGTCATGAATATGGATCTGTGTGCTTTGGCTATTCAGAAATCATGAAAAATGAACACTGATAAACATTTAAAATTCACTGCTGCCAAGATCAAAGCTCTTCTTTTTATGAACTGAAATATGTTCGTACCTGTATTAGAGTGAACCAAATCTAAAATGCATTATTCATTCTTCTTTCACAGACAGGCTCTCAGCAGGTGAAGGACTCGATTAAAAAGAAACAGTGAAGTGCCACTTGTGAAGTGACTCACACTGGTAACTAAAGTGGGCTACGGCACTGCATTTTTTTTTTTTTATTGTGGCTGCTTTGAAACAATGTCAAAGAAACAATACTAACAGGAGAAAGGCAAAAGAACAACTACCACTTCCATGAAGCATAAAGGATAGAAAGCCCATGGAACTAGAACAAAACCTGTAGATTTAGTTTCACAGACTTAGTGACCCATTTATCTTGCATAATTTACCCTTCCTTCCTTCCTTCCTTCCTTCCCTACTTCACAGAACAGGAAACTTTATGAAAGTTCCCTTTTTCTGAATCCTAATGAAGCAATAGACGCAGTGCAAGCAGGAGGTTTACCGGTATTCTCCATTCCAATAAATAGCTATATTTGTAGCATTCAGATATGCAACATCCACAGACCTACACCTACAGCTTTGGGAAGTAGTCTTCGATGGCACTGAAAACCATATAATAATATTGTGTCCAGCTATATCTATACCCAGTCATATCATCTAAGATTTGGGATGTACCTGATTGGACTGTTGATATCATCTGGATCTCTGGCACTCACAGTTCCCACAAATGAGCCATTCAGATTGTCTTCAGCAACCTCCATGAAGAATTCCTCTGATACGAAAACTGGAGGTTCATCAGCATCCTTCACTATGATCCTGAGAATAGTTTCATCTTCAAACTTAGTGTCTTTTTCAAGGAAGCGCTTATCAACATGTCTGTTAATACCTTTAACTTTTATTTTGTATACCCGTTGGCTCTCATAATCGACTCTCTGACAAAAAAGAAGAAAAGCCAATACTTTTCATTCAGCTTCTGAGAAATTAACAACAGTAAACAGCTAATGGAAAAGCAATGGTTCACTTTCATAGGGAATGTTTCCAAAGTAGGCATGTTACCTTTATTTCATTTTTTTTTTTTTTAGGTGAAGAAAATATTAGTATAATCCTCATGAGTACAGTTTTTACACTTACCTTTCTTACTAGTTGGTTTGGTAGTATAAGTTAATCTGTTCTGTTTCATCCTGTCCAGTGGTCTGACACCTTCCTTGGATCCCCCACCCAAGGGAAGGGGAAACATCATGGACAAATCCTTCCAATGGGCTATCTTTTACAAGAAGCATGAGGAGGTAGGGAGGAGGCAGAGTTATGGTGAAATGGGTAACCTCTGGGGCGGAGGGAGAGACAGTAATAGCAGCAAAAGACTTGGTCTCTTTGCACTGAAAAATTAAAATTACTCCATAAAAACAGCAGCATCACTATGCTTGACTCCTTTGCAATAACAACTGCCACAAAACAAAAGCTCAACTGCAAGTAAAATTCTAGACAGAAAGCCAGACTGGTGTGGTGGTTAAGGTACCAGGCTAGAAACTGGGAGACTCTGAATTCTACTTCCATCTTAGGCACGAAGCCAGCTGGGTGACCTTGGACCAGTCACTCACTCTCAGTCCTAGGAAGGAGGCAATGGCAAGCCACTTCCAAAATGATGGCAACAAAACTTCAAGGACTTGTTGAGGTGGTTGCCGGGAGTCAAGACTGACTAGAAGGCACACACACATAAATCTAAATAAGTGGGGAAAAAAACATATTTCTGAATGAGCTGTTCTTCACCTCATTTTACTTACATTTACTTGGTTTTCTGGTTTCATAGCTGAAGTAGCATCATGATGGATACAATTTTAATTTTTGCTAAGCATGATTACATGCAGATTTTGTTAATATTTTTCGTTTATTTTTCCATTTCAGTTTGAAGAGAAGGAGATGCTATCTACCTTATGTTATTATTTCGAAAGATAGAATATGGGCTATCTAGGTACCTAGAACCATGTTCTAGGATAGAACATGGGCTTTTCAGAACAGCCCCTTTTGCCAATCTTAATATTCTTCAATATTGCTCCCCACTTTTTTATTATTATAGATTTTGTTCCTTAACGTGAAAGTAACTTTTTTTTAATTTGAAATATTTGGGTGTATTCTCAGTCATATTTAATGTAGACGCAGTGAGGCCCCATCAGTGGTGGCCAATTTAATTCTCATTGGTTTCAGTGAGTCTTTTTTGTCATAATGAAATATGAATCCAGTTATTTTTTACATAACATCTGATGTGTTTTGCAAAATATTCACCAAGGTCATCATGGAAGTTGAAGAGAGGAAGAATCCTTTAAATGTCAGGTGAATTTAGAAAGATGGGAATTATCTGGTTGTCTTTAAGGTTATAAGTGGCATTTATTTGAATAATTTGCTCATATGTTATGTTTCTACTTGAATATATATGTTATAGTAAACAATGCTATATGATAGCATAGGTCAGTCATAAACTGTTTTTTCAGAAGTATAATGAAAAAAAGATGATAAGCAAGTGATATGCAGTATGTTACAATGGCATCATTTACAGTGGCTGGTAATTTATTATTTATTTATTTAAATGTATTAGTAATATACTTTTAGTTTACTGATGTCTTCCTAGTTGAAGGAATATATAATTTAAACCAAAGGAATGTATATCCAAGCAGTCTTGTAAAGGGTGATGTGTTGGCGTTTTTCTTTGCCTAACACAAATTGTGTCATAAATGTTTTTATTTAATCTGGTAAAGCTTACAAATGAGCAAGCAAATTTTATTGCTGTGGACCCAGCTACAAGAGGTATTATACATTAAAAGGCCATAAATCTATGTTGGCGCATGGAAAGCTGATATAGATAAAACTGAGCTAAACAGATTGATTCAATACCAGGCAACTTTCAATGTTTTCTATAGTGAAAAATATGATTTTTCAAAGTATAAAGAGACAGAATAGGCACTATCACCATGGTGGTGGTGATAGATATATGTTGGATCTATAATATAGTGGAATGGAGCTTTAATTGAGGTCCAATTACAATCAAATCCAGGATGGGGAAAAACTCTCTCCTTCCTTCACTCTTCATTCCCTATCTGTTTGTTGCCTTCTATCTTTAAAAAGATAAAGATAAAGAATTAACCATCTTATTAAGATCAGAACTACAGTAGTTGAACCTTGATAACTAGTGCTATTAGTTAACCTTGTTGTAGTCTGGCTTATGTTTCACCATCTGATTACACCGGCTGTGCTCAGTTATACTATTAAGTGTAATTTACTTATAAATTACTCCCCCAATTCAGAATACAAAATCAGCAAATTTTCAAATGGCCTTCAAAATATCTTCTTAAAAAAAAAAAAAAAGAACAAGTCTTCAAAAATACAGTTTTCTATCCTGAACCGTCTCAAGTCCTTCTGAGCATTTGGTCTACTGTGTTTCATTCCAGTCTAGTAACACCCAAGCTCTGATGGGCTGCGGTATCTGCCATGCCCATTCCCACCAGTGGCTGGTTGGAGACCTTTATAGCCATTTCATCCTGGGCTGCTGGATTGGGTCATTATGTTCTCTGCTGCTTCCTTTTATATTTCTTCCAGTTGTTTTAATGATGGCCTATAAAGACCATAGACTAAGATTTCTTGGCTACTATTTCTTACTCTTTTCTAGCATATATCTGTCCCATCCTTCCATTTCCTATCTAGCATCCATTTGATTTCCACCCATTCTAAGTCTACTGTATTGCAATTTTTTTTAATACTTAAGTTGCAACACAGGCATGTTGGAAGGAAGTTCACAATTACAATGAATGTGACTCCTTTGTTTCTATCTGGACCATCAGTTCTTTATTTCTATTTCTATATAAATTGAATACTTAAACACCTAAATTCCCCCCAAATTTCTATGGACCTACAATGGAATGAAGGAATAATCTCTGTCCTTTGGTTTGTTCATTGTACTATCAGAGCAACAATAATGTGAGTAATGAGTGGAAACACAGGGTCAAACCATAGAATGTGTGAAGCATGCATGTGTGTCAACATCTGGGAAAGCAAAGGAAAAGAATGGGGACTATTGAGAAGGAAACAGCCCCTAAAAGGAAAAGGTAGACACTGGGAGATACAATCAACAAAAGCCAGCCAGTAACATACACAGTTGAGAAGGGCAAGATGCAGGGGAATGACCAGTCATAGCTTGAGATAGCCATAGAGTGCACTGAGCACCAACCCAGCTCCATTATCAAACCATTACAATCCAGACTGGAATTTTAAAAGCATCATGGGAGGTAAGTAGCTTAGCCTGCAGTACAAAATTAGCCTTAGAAAGGACTGCCCAAAAGCGTTATTTCAAGCCAACCAATAGAGCACATTTCTTGAGACAATCTGAAGCCAGCAGAATTAAACATAGAACATTTAACTTTCTCAGTCAAGAGTGATTACAACTGTTTGTTTCTAAGTAAGCAACAAATAAGCTGCCCGTTTTATGAATACATTATGTTGATCATGCTAATGTAGGACAAATTCTTGGGAAAGAGAATGGAATGGCTTTCAGACTTATCATAACTTCTCCCCATCTAAGACTATAATGAGTACACATGTTTGATTTTGCCTTTTCACTGCCTGCTGAGATACTGTTTGTTAAGTAGCAGATGACATCTCACCTTGTTCAATATGACAATCCCTTCTTGAGTCTCATTATTAGTAATGATGTGAACGATATGAGGGTTATCTTCTTCTATTATATAATCCATGGCTGCATTCTCTCCTATGTCGCTGTCATTTGCCATGATTTTGCCAAGGATGATGCCCACAGGATCTGCCTCAGATACATTCATTTCATAGCGCTCTTAAAGAGAAAGCAAGTCTCAGTACAAGCCTGATGGAATCATGAATGTTCATTTGACAGCAACAAAATGCAAATTGTGATCCTTTCTGAGAATTGTCTTATTAGATAAAGAACTGTTGTAACAAATGTTTCTTGTTTGTGGTATTAGCTCATTGTCTTTAGCAGCTTTTGACTGTTTAATTTAACCATTCTTGAGCTTCAAAAGAAGTAGTTGTATACTCTTTTTTTAAGTATTGTAATATAAGGACTGCTAACTCTCTTCTGTCTGCAGTTTTTCCTTTTAACCTGACAAGTTTATGTCCTTGTTTATAATTAGAATAACACCTGTGAACAGTAGAACATCAAAACGTACCAAGCTATTTGAATTCAATATCAATAAATTCCCAATTCCATTTTCAAAGGCAGATTAAAAATAAGCAAATTTCAACCAATTTTGATTGAAACACCCAGATGAAAAATTGAGAATTTAGCAACTTTTTAAAGAAAGGCTTGATTCATGTTAGTCTACGATTTAATATTCCTTGTATTTCCTTAAGTAAACTAGGAACAATCTTTTTAATCCTAATTACTCAATTCATGGTTCAGTGGAGAGATTAATCAGTTTAAAACCTGAATCAAGGTGGAAACAATTGCTACTTTGTCTCAGGCTATAGTTTCAGGCACTATAGCATTGTGTTAAAACAGTCATTGTGATACAACTTCTGAAAAGGTAGGATTATTACATTGCCAATGTGGTATTCGTGATTGACTCCAAAATTATAACCATGTGGTTAACTGGATATTAATTTTTAATAATTGTCTTAAACATAATTAATTTAAAATAAATAACTTTATTTTAAAGTGTTACGTTCCTACTGGTCACTGACACACATCCTATAGAATATTGACAAATTAAAATAATCCATTATATCCTAATAAAGTCAGAGTATCAAGTCAAACTCAGTAAATTCTTCATGTCAAATAATTTCTATTTTTAAAATTTTCTTGATCTATGCGTTTTAACATCTTTTATAAGTTTTCTGTGTCCCAATCTTCAATTTTTCTATTTCTTTTTCAAGGTGCCTTATTTTATGTTTGCAAGGCAGCAGAATGGCTATTGTTGTTATTCCTCAATTGCCCCTCTATATAACTTTGCCTATCAGCATCCACTTCCTGATCAGAAAATATCTCAAGGAAAAAAATCCCTCATTAGGAATTATCTGAAGTGTGGAGAAACAGGAATGTTGCAAACTATTTGAGGGATCATGATATAATGAAAGATTATACCAGCCACTTTGAAATTAAGGTAAGCAGGAGAACCTCACATATCCTTGAAAATTTTCCATTGGGAGAAAAAAAATCCATCTTATTTTCTTTTACATTAAATCAATCAAGAATGGTCCAAAGATGTATATTTGCCATAACAGTGATCAGAGTTATAGGTGGTCCTCATTTAACAACCAGTCATTCAATGACCATTTGAACTTTTAATGGTGCTGAACGAGTGGTAGTTATGACTGGACCTCATATTTACGGCCATTGCAGCATCCCTGCAGTCACGTGATCATGATCTGTGTGCTTAGCACCTGGCTTGCAATGATGTTGTAGGGTCCCACAGTCATGTGATCGTGACTTGCAACCTTCCCTGCCAGCATCCCACAAATAAAGTCAACGGGGAAGCCAGCAAAATTTGGAAGTCATGGTCACGTGAGGACCTTGCTTAATGACGGCAACCAGGACTGCTGGAACTGCCATCACTAAGTGGCACAGTCACATGGTTTATGACTCTATTGCTTAACAATGGAGTTTCTGGTCCCAATTAACATCATTAAGCAAGGACTAACTGTATTACTCTCTTTCCATGTTATATCCTATATTATCTTCACCTTTTTTGACTGACCACATCAAAAGATTGCTGTGCCTCCTCTCCTCCCCACCTGGAAGCTTTTTTATATTTCAGTCTCACTAGTTTGGTTTCTGGTACCAGAAGATGAGATGCCCTCAAAGGCCTACTCTCCCCTAGCTTTTACCTGATTCCTTTTCTTCTGTTTTCTTTTCCTAATTGGGAAATGAAAGTCCTGGTCTTCTAATATGTCTCCCTCATTCAGAGCAACCAGTAATAAATTCACCAATAAAAAACCACAAATTCCAACATAAGTATTAAAAGAAAAATAAAGACGAATACATCAAAGCAACTAAAACAGGGTTTCATCATATAAAAGTTTTCTTCTCTTACATGTGCAAATTGAGTTTCTTCTGAACTGTTTTATTCAAATTGCTTTATGAGCTTATCCATAATAAACTAAGAACAGAGAATTTTCTTTTTCTTTTTTTCCCTCCTTTAATTAGTTATCTTGTTATGTGGCATTATTTGATTTTGTTGCCTATTTTTTTAACTTAATTTCAAAATGTAATTTTGGGGATAACTTTAGGCCATCTTTAGGGAAATGTGTATAATGTAACTGCTCTTGTTACTGAGGTACATCTGATAAGTTTATGAGAACTCTCCTGAGTCAGGGCTTGAAAACTTTGTCTTGGATTTTAATTGTAAACCGTCCAGAGTCACCCTCTGGAGGAGATGGGCAGCATATAAATAAATAATAAATAAATAAAGTAAAAAATAAATTTGGGATCCTGACTCTGTTGTTAAGCCAAGGTGTGCTTTAGTTTTCCTGAGCTAAAGTATGCTGGACTCCCGTGAACTGCTTTGCTTCCCGTATTACTCCATATTACTCCATATGGCTAGCCCCATAGAGGCCTGTGCCTTCAACCTCAGTTTTTTCATCCTCTTGGTCTCTCCTTTTTCTTTTTAGTAAAGTTTTAATTTAAGGTTTTATGTGTTTATATATTTTATGTTCTAATGTTTGTTGTGAATCGC